TACATTCAACTGCCAAGGAATAATATCGAGAACGTGGTTTTAAAAGATCTGAAAAAGTGAAAAAAGACCCGAAAGATACTCACGCATCAGTCACGTAGATTTGTACGATCACATTGATGAAGTTCAGGGCCTCGCACGTGAAGTACTTAAACGCGTAGAAGTTATGATTATTCATATTCATCTTGAAGTAAGAGACGAGCATGTCCTTGCGCTCCTTCTTGACATCATCGTCAACAATGGGCGTGTCCAGCTGCATCACCAGCATCTTAATCTTGCCTCCTTCCCACATCTTTCGCGGGACGTAGAGAAGAGGCCTGGGAGGCACTCTTTATGACTAGTGTCACTGTGTGTGTGTTGTGTGTGTGTGTGTGTGTGTTACTATATATAGGCCTATATAATGAAGGCATATATGCATTATAAACGCATACATACACACGCCTTAAAGATTCTTTTATGCATATAATCCATATCACATGTATTTTAGTTGTGTAGCTCCCCATACTATCCAAAGTAAACATATTGAGTTCTTATCATCAAACACCCAGCCCCACGAGTGTATTATCAAAAGAGAACTTCCGACGTAGATTGGTCCGCCCACTTGAAAGCCCTTAGAAATATCCACGTCCATAAGACTGTCACCAAGCCTAGTGTTCCTTAAATCTTAAATCGTCCATTTTGAAAATGAAAAAAAGGCAATAATTTGAACACAGAGAGCCACTCGCCACCCTCCTCCAAAGACCGATCCCGCTTCCTACCTGCAGCGCCAGGACGAGGGTCACCCACTGGTAGTACTTGTGGTGTTTGATTTCGCGCTTCTCTTCCCCGGGGACGTTAGGGTTCGCGATGCCCGGGTGCGCCACCTCGTGCCCGACGATGGCGCCGTTCATTTCGGGGATGGTGAACGTCGCGTGGATCCAGCAGTAGGTATCCATCACTTCCTGATCCACCGTCTCCACAATGCAGTCGATGGGGTCGCCGAAGTACTGCCGCTGCGTCACGAGCAAGCTGCACGCCAGGAGAAAGAACATCGTGACTTTGTAGTGCAGCTGGAAGATCTTGTTGTCCACGCTGAGGGAGTTCACCTTCAGCAGACCCCGGATTGAGTCGAAGACGTCATGCATCGTGGAGGAGCGAGGGAGCGCGTCGGGACCAGAGGGAAAGTATCCTATGAAGGATCCAGCAAAGGGAGGTTTGGCACTCCTCCTCGCTAGGACGTCCAAGTGGCACTATGCTCGTCGGTGTCGTGTCAGACGTTCATGTTTAAGCCTTTTGGTCACCGGATGTGTTTCCTCGAACGGGGGAGGCGGGGGGGGGGGGTGATACGCCGCACGTAATTCCCTCGACTCTCAAATGTAGCCATACATTTTTTTTTCTTCTTCATATTCACCTGACGCTCTTTTCTTGATTAGTTTCTAAGTAATATCTGTCGGCACGTCTAATTTTCCACAAGCGCTGGGTCCGAATCTGAATCAAATCGCCCAAAACCAGTTCTTAAAATCCGGTTCTTCATAGTCTTCGAAATAGCGCACTGGCAAGACGTGCCATGAGCAGCCACACAGCGCCAAGGGGAAAAAACTAAACCGTGACGTTTCGAGTTGGACTCAGAATCCTCATCAGACGGCAAAACCCGAAATGGATACTTCAAGTAAATTTGTATATACATCGAGATTTTATTTTGATTTTATTGGAGGATGAGTGTTTCTCTTATCATGTCTGTCTTTTGTTTCATTTTTGTACATAGGTTAGGTTAGGTTAGGTTAAATTTGTGAGAGGCCCGAACCAATTAATGTTCATACATACGGCCATGCATATCCACAGAAATAAGTCCATATTTATCTATCTGACAGATATATATCCATCTATCCAGTAGATATGCATATCTAAACTGATTCATATGTATTCATTTCCGTGTATATGCAAGTCCGCATAATGAATATATATTGGGCGGACAACGCACAATTTCAACAAACTGACCGACAGACTGCACTTTGCCTGCTGTTCCGCTGGATGTTCAGATCTTTCCAATCAAGTCAGAGGGTAAAATTTATTACCGATTGGCAAGTTTCTAGAAAGGAGATTAGGAGATTAGAAGAACGGATTAGTAAAACCTCCCCTTATAGAATTTTGGTCATATGTATGTGACTGTATGGTTAATTTTTTCATTTATGTTTGACTGATTGTGTTAACTGAATTGACAGATAGATCGACAGTTAGATGAAGTGAGAGAGGGAGAGACAGTGAGAAAGAAAAAGAAAGTGAGAGGGAGACAGAGAAAGAGAGAGGGGGGAGGGGGGGAGAGTGAGAGAAAAAGAAAGAGCGAGACAGAGAAGAGAGGGGTTGATAGAGAGAGGGGGGGGGAAGAGAGAGGAGAGAGGAAGAGGGAGGGAGGGGGAGGGAAGGGGAAGAGAGAGAGAGAGAGAATAGCATTAATGATAATAATTAACAATGACATTGATCACAATACAACATCAATATATGCAGGCAGGCAGAAAGACAAACAAACAGCCACATATACAGAGAGAGAAAGAGTGAAAGAAAAAAACAACAGAAAGACAGACTGATAGAGAGAAAAAATAACAAAAGAAATTTAAAAACAACAAATGATTTCTGACACGAAAAAAATACATGGGCGTAGAAAAACATTCGAGTACCTTTTTTTCTCAATTAGACTGAAATTATTAAGGAGCAAATTCTAAAAAAAAAAAAAAAAAAAAAAGAACGAGAGAGCGGCATTTGTGTTACAGCGTTGCCAGTCAAAACCCACGTAGCTGCTTTTTCCTAGAAATAGTTCATTATATTGTGTGTGTCTTTGTGTGTATTCACATGTGCGCGCGGATATGATTTTATATATGTGTGTGTGTGTGTGTGTGTGTGTGTGTGTGTGTGTGTGTGTGTGTGTGTGTGTGTGTGTGTGTGTGTGTGTGTGTGCGTGCGTGTGTGCGTGCGTGCGTGCGTGCGCGCGTGCGTGCGTGTGTGTGCGTATGTATGTGTTTGTGCGTGTGCGTACGTGTTTGTAGGGTGTGTATGTATGTTATATATGCACATAAAATGCACATCTCATGTGTTGCCTTGCATCTCTTCGTATTCCATACGCACGAGAGATTGACGATTACACTGTTAACGGTAAAAGCAACGAACATGATAACGGATACGGTGATTTTAACTACCATCATAATTATCAACATTATTATAAAGAACAGAGTCACTACTAACCAGTCATAAGCACAAAGACGACGGTCGACATTATCGTTGTGATTACCATCAATATTCTTAACATTATCATTATTTGCCGCTAAACTGAACTACATTTTACTTGAATCTCTACCGCGTGATGAGATGCTGAATGGCGTCAAAACGGCACCAGTTTCATGTCATGGAGGAGTTAGGAAATGTTCAGTAGATGCCCATCGATGCCTAGAGAGCTTCGATATATATATGGCCATAAGAACATACGCTCTTTAGGGTATATAACATGTGTCTAAAACAATGCTACAGGAATGTAACAAGGCCATTCCGTTTTTTTTTTTCCGAGATATCATTGCGTTCACATTCTTACAAGTATAATCGAGGAAATATCTAAAACTAAAACACACCAACTGTATCGAAAGTAATGATAAAAATAATCAAGAATCCGAGGTGGTGTTCTATCACTCGAAGTAGTTAGATTTATTAAGTGCTTCCTGAAATTTTACTGCCTACTGACAAAGTTAGTTGTGTGCAAAATTGGTTTGGTTTCTGCACTGACCATTACTTCATTTGACATCTGAAGGTAATTATGTTTTTAAAAAATCGTCTTTGCTATAATGACAAACATTCGACTTGTTTCAAATCAGGATTACTTTGTGCTTGGTGTTTTGTTTCTGTCAAAGTTATTATTTTACTAGCTGATGTAATACGGATTTACGTTAAATAGTTCGACCGTTTTCTTTGTTCAGTTTCGATGGGTTCACAATTTATTTTATTTATTTCATCCCGTTCCACGCGTGCTAGCTAATTTCACTGCAACATATTACACACTATTGGAGTTACCTTGAATAGGGATAAAACAATGGGATTTTATTTTTTCCATTAGCATACTTACCATTCAAATCGAGAGCACAAAATAAATTCTTTCACAAACCAACTATTTCGTGAATGTATATTTACTATTTATAGTTATATTGGTACCTTTCTGGTTAAATTTAAATTATATAAATACAACACGACTGATGACTTGATATTCCCAAAGGTATAGGTGAGAGGGATCGATCTGTCTGTGGGGATCGGCCGTTTGTCCTTGAGCAACTGCCATAAAAGCTGATTTTTTCTTTATGTTCATTTCCTTGTGCTTTTTTACACGGAATTTTCTTTATTCTTCGATGTGGTTGTTCTTGTCGTAGTGATTTTTCTTTATTTTCTTCTTTGTAGGGAGGGGAATTATTTATTTATTATTTTTTTTTTTTTTTTCGTTATTCGGTTTCTGTTCATCTGGGAGGATTATCTATAAATGTGACCTTTTGTTTACCAGATTCGAGCTAAGTGTTTTCATCTCTGACCTCTCTCTCTCTCTCTCTCTCTCTCTCTCCTCTCCTCTCTCTCTCTCTCTCTCTCTCTCTCTCTCTCTCTCTCTCTCTCTCTTCTCTCTCTCTCGTCTCATCTCTCTCTTCTCTCTCTCTCCTCTCTCTCTCTCTCTCTCTCTCTCTCTCTGGGCAAATAAAAACAGACAGTATGTCACAGCAAAGAATATCCGTTGTAACAAATGGAATTAAAACTAAATCTTTATTTAATCTAAATCTTTATTTAATCTCTCTCTCCCTCGCTCTCCTCTCTCTCCCTCCTCCCTCCCTCTCTCTCCCTTCATCCCTCCATCTCTCTCCCTCCTCTCCTCCTTCTCCCCTCCTCTCCTTCTCCGCTTCCCTCCCCTCTCGCCCCCTCTCCTCCTCTCCTCTCCTCCTCCTCCTTCCCTCCTCCCTTCCTTCCTCCTCTTCCCCTCCCTCTCCATCCTCCCTCCTTTCCCTACT